ATCTAATAAAAGAGAAACATGGTAATTAGCATACGACCGCTACCCTTCCCATTGGCTAATCAGGGCAATGCAAATTAACTGCCAGCCAAGATGGCGGCCGGCAGCCAGGCAGCTGGAAGCGAACATGAGGCTTGCTTGATTCAGTGAAGGAGAACTCCAACGTTCCCCGCCTGCCTTGCCGGGCTCTGAGCTGGCAGTTTGAAACATTGTAACAAATATAGAAGCTAAACAAAACCCCAGAAACCAGCTTTCAGCTGGCTGGGATCTCAGAGCTGGAGATGATACAGTGTTTTGATTATAGAACCGAAACAAACCAGATACCTGCTTTCAGCAGCAGAGGCCTTGGCCCAGAATAAAAAAAAAAAAAAAAGAAAAAAAGGAGTGGTTGGGAGCTTCAGTCACCCACCAGCCTGAAAACAGCCCTCAGCCCCTCACCCAGACTGGCCAGGCACCCCAGTGGGGACCCCCACCCTGAAGGGTGTGTGACCAGCTGCAAACAGCCATCATCCCCTCATCCAGGCTGGCCAGGCACCCCAGTGGGGACCCCCACCCTGATCCAGGACACCCTTCAGGGCAAACCAGCCAGCCCCTACCCATGCACCAGGCCTCTATCCTATATAGTAAAAGGGTAATATGCCTCCCAGCACCAGGATCAGCGGAGCTGCGAGGACTCCTGGCACTGGGATAAGCGTGACAGGGGGCAGTGCCCAAACCCCCTGATCGCCCTGTAGCTCTGTGTGTGACACGGGAAGGTGCCCCAACCCCCTGATCAGCCCTGCTCTGTGCCTGATAGGGGGGGGAGCTCCCCAACCCCCTGATCACCCTGCGGCTCTGTGTGTGACAGGGTGCGGTGCCCCAACCCCCCCCCCCCCCCCCAGGCCCTGGTTTGTGTGTGATGGGGTAGAGCCATAACCTCCCCATCGGCCCTGCCCTGAATGTGAGAGTGGCGGCGCCCCAACCTCCTGATGGGCCCTGCTCTGTGTGTGACAGGGGGGAGCTTCCCAACCCCCTGATGAGGCCTGGTCTTTGCGTGACAGGGTACGAGGGCACAACCCTCCTGATGGGCCCTGCTCTGTGCATGACAGGGGGTGGCGCCGCAACCTCCCCATCGACCCAGCCTTGAGTGTTACAGGGTGGGGTGCCCCAACCCCCCAATCAGCCCTATCCTGAGCGTGACTGAGGGGGGCATCACAACCTCCCAATCCACCCTGCTCTGTGCATGACAGGGCGTGGCGCCCCCAACTCCCCCAATCCGCCCTGGTCTGAGCCCGACCAGGGGCTGCACCTAGGGATCTGTGTCTGCCCTCTGCCACCGGGAGCAGGCCTAAGCCAGCAGGTCGTTATCTCCCGAGGGGTCCCAGACTGCGAGAGGGCACAGGCTGGGCTGAGGGACCCCCCTCCCCCCAAGTGCACAAATTTTTGTGCACCGGGCCTCTAGTATACTAATAAAAGCCTAGGTGGCACTCCCTCCCTCCCCTCATGTCATCACAGGATGGCCCCCCATGTCATCACAAGATGGCTGGCAGGGGAGGGCAGTTGGGGGCAACCAGGTCATCAGGGGAGGGCAGTTGGGAGGGACTGGGCCTGCAGGGGGGGGGGCAGTTAGGGGTGAACAAGTCAGCAGTGAAGGGCAGTTGGGGGTGATCAGACCAGCAGGGGAGCAGTTAGGTGTCAATCAGGCCAGCAGGGGAGCAGTTAGGGGGCCATCAGGCTGGCAGACAAAAGTAGTTAGAGGCAATCAGGCAGGCAGGCAGGAAGTGGTTAGGAGCCAACAGTCCCAGATTGTGAGACAATGCAGGCTTGGATGAGGGACAATCCCCTATCCCCGCCATCCCCCCTGCCCCATGCATATATATATATACTCTTCTCCCCAACCCCCCATTGACCGCTTCTACTTGGCCCTGCCCTCCATACCAGGCCTTCACTGACTACTGTCAGTGTTCATGGGTTATGCATATATCTGTCTCCCTCAGTACATTGACATAAGCTATTTGTCCTATGGTTAGGGAGGTAAAATGCAAATCATTTACTCTTAAGTGTCCTTGGTTTAGGGAAGATAGGATATACTAGATAACTCCAAATTGCTGTTTAACCATCGCAGTTTCCTATTCTATTCATCTGATTAGTTAGAATTAACATTCCTCAGATTAGCAATATATTCAGATTTTGAAAAATAATACAATACTTATTCATTAACAGATTCCAATCCATCCTCTAGAGCAGCAGTTCTCAACCTGTGGGTCGCGACTCCTTTGGGGGTCGAACAACCCTTTCACAGGGGTCGCCTAAGACCATTGGAAAACACATATATAATTACATATTGTTTTTGTGATTAATCACTATGCTTTAGTTATTTTCAATTTGTAACAATGAAATTGAGGGTCACCACAGTATGAGGAACTTTTAAAGGGTCACGGCATTAGGAAGGTTGAGAACGACTGTTCTAGATTCTCCACATGAGGCATACTGAGATTTATATTTCAGTATTCTGTTATTTAAAAATACTTTGATACTCAATATTTTTTTACCATTTAACTCAGCAAACTCAAAATATTGAGTCACACGTCCCTGGGACCTGGGATTCAACCTTGGATCAGGGAGTTAAACTTGGAATGTGGTCCATTCTCACTCAAGAACCGCCCATTATCATGGAGACATTAACCTTCCTGCCTAAACAATGGAGTCCCACCCCAGCCCATGTTGCTGACTTCCCCTGCCTGTGATCCCTACTTTCCTGTGTAATCTTTGTCCCCAGAAAACAAAGTCCCCAAAAGATAGAAATCAGTAACCAAAATTACATTACAGACACACAGACAAAAACTTCTCACTAGCTAAGAGTTTCTGGCTGCTGAAACCCTGAGAGGGAAAGCAGGAAGCTCCCCAAGATGAAGAATTCTCAGCAGCTGCTGAGATGATCCTGCAGTCTCTGTCACCTGGTCAGCCTCGCCACAGTAGCTAGGATCCCCAGAGCTGGACATGCCCCATCTTTAAACAAATAAACCAAACAACAAACAGACACAAACATCAACAGAAACACTCATATGAGCGGGCATGACCCACAGACACAGAAGGTCCTGCTTTAAGAAAACCACTGAAGCAGAGCAATGCCTCCTGTCGCTGGGTCGGGGACTGCCCTTCCCAGAACCTCAGCATCTCCCAGTGGGCTACTTGGGGAGAGCATTCCCCAGGCCGAGAGTTTTTGTTTCCATCCTCGGCAGGTCCCTTGTGACTATGTGCTCAACCTCCGTATTGGGGATTTATTGCACAACCCAAGATCCCTTGTGACTATGTGCTCAATACCCCATATTGGTGATGTCTCGCACTCCCTGAGATCCACTTCGTCCTTCTCTGGTCGCTTCCCTTGCAGGAGAACAGAACCACAGATCAGAACTCCGCACTCGCTTTATGTCTAAGACACATCCCAGTCACATGTCTGACCCTGAGGACACACAATCACCAAAATAGTACTCAGTCCACTGCCCACCTTGGCTCATGCGGGAGGTCACCTGATGCTGCAGTTCTTGCCTGGGCCCTTCATGCGTTGCTGGCTCACTCTCGATCCGAGCTGGGAGTTGGCCCTGGGTAGTTGCCTCCTCACCCACTGCCCCTCCTTGGTTCTGGAAGCCTCCTGGGGGGAGGGTAGGGGTAGCGGGGGGGGAGAAGGTCTCAGCACTGGGAACCCAACCTTGGTTGTCAAAGCACTTTTTGGGGAGGGTAGGGGGGTAGTTGTTGCCTCAGCCGCCTGCCTGCTTCCTCCGCTGCACTTACTGAGCAGCTCCTGCGCAGGAAGCCCCGCGCCTGGCGCCCTGAAGGCGGCTTTCAGGTCCAAGACCTGCGGGATGGGTGCACACCTTCCCTCCCCCTTCAGTTCGCTGTACAGATCCATCATTTAGGGCCTCGTCAGGGGACGAAGGCCACAGCTTGGCCAGAAGCCTGCGCTGCCTCATTTGTCCTCTTGCTGACCCTGCAAGTCCTTCTGGTGGAGGATAGAGTTGAGCTTCTTGCGGGCGGTGATCTGGAGGGAGGGTGAGGCCCGGGTCCTGCAGGAGCACCCATCCTGGCACTGGCCCCGCCCCCAGCGCGCCCTGCATGATGCTGGTCCCAGGGTCCAAGCTCCTTGGAGGGTGTAGGCTGTGTCTCTGATGGCCACGGGCTCAGCATCTCCCCCTCTGCCTGGTCTTTTCCTTGGTGCCAGCCCCGCCTGCAGGGGGAGGTGCCGGTGAGGCAGAGTGGGGGGGGGGCGGGGGCGGTCAGTAGGGCTCTGAGCTCTCCCAGGGGTTGATGTCACTGCAGGATCCTTCACAGGACATGAGGGAGGAGGGCCTGCCTCAGGGCTTCCTAAGGGACTGGTGGCAATGCCCCTCCCCTTTCTGTTCTTCTGAAGGAAAGTTCCATGTCATTTCCATATTCGAAGTCTGCAAAGTAGGCAGG